CAGTTATATTATTAATGGGTTTTCTTTATAAATAAGACAATTAAGCAATGCATTACAATTTATGACTTGTTCTACAGCTTAAATGAATTAAAACTCACCCCTCTTACAAAAAGACAGCCCTCTTCACAGCAATATTCCCGGTTACTTGATGGAATGTTTCCTCATCTGACATAATGTTGCAATGCTCGGTGCATAAGATAGGAAGTTAAATGGAGGCTGAAGACCTGAAGGTAAAGGGAACTGAATGTGGAAAGAAACATCTAGGGCAAAACAGCTGACTTAATGGCAGGTAAACTCCTTTAAGAATCTGTCTTAATATAATAGCCAAATGAAAGAATCAAAAAGCAATCCTCTAACTTTGAAAGCCAATGGAACCCTAAGGAACAAGTCTCATGTTAAAAAGATTCTTCCATGGAGTGAAGTTAAGCTGCAAAAACGTGTTTATAAGAGACATTCGTCATGAGAAGAAACAACAGCAACATCAAGGGATTCTAGAAAAGTCCAAAGATGACACTATACAACAACTGGAACAATTAAGAATTAGGTTACTACTTATCATCCCAGTTATTCAGGAGACTGTGAGGCAATAGGACTGAGTTTGAGGTCACCTGGGCAACTTACCAAAATCTTATATTGAAATTTTTTTTCAAAAAAAGGAGCTAAGGAGGCAGTTCAGTGGTCGAGCGCTTGCTTACCATGCATGAGCCATGGGTTCAAATCCCAATACCGCTCAGGGGAGAAAAAAAAAAAAACAGAAAAAAGTTGTGCTTTTTTGCTCCAAAAGACATAGGTTCAAAAATGGGTTACAGTAACTAGCCGTCCTTGGCCAAGTTCTAAACTTCCATTTGTTTGATGTCCTATCTTTGAAATGTAATGAAAACAACAGTGAACATTGCAGTTGGTGAGGTGATTGAATCAATTAGAGACAATCAGAATTATTTACAGGTCTGACTGTTCCTAAAAAATGAACCAACATTGAGGAAAAAATGGCGTTTTAAAGGTTATTTCTGTTCCAGGCAAGGTAGTGCACACCTATAATAACCAAGAGGCTGAGCAAGAAGGTTCATAAGATCAAGGTCAGCCTCAGCAACTTGCCAAGCCCTGGTCTCAAAATAAAAATGAAAAGAACTGGGGTATTAGTTCATTGGTAAAACATCCCTGGGTTCAAACCCCAGTACTAAAACAAAACAAAACAAAACACCCAATAAAGGTCTCTTCTGTATGTACTTGCCTGGTTTGAAAATCAAATGTGGAAATAATTGATACATTCAAGTGTTCTACTAGCAGTTAATCATAATGTTAGTATGCTATAAACTTTTCTGTTTCTCCTTTGCTGATATTCCTAGAAGCACAATCATCACAAGAAATTGAAGAGGACCTCACTTTTTACCTCCAACTTAAGCATCATTGATAATGAGAGAGAGTCTTCACTCTGACATTTGGGAGCAATGTTACTGAGTGTATTTGACCTCAATTACCCGATCTGAAAAATTAAGAGATCAAATTAGAATTTACTTCCATAAAAACCATTATTACACATGTTAAACACTTAAAGTGTGCTCAAGTAATGGTCACTATCATTATCAAAAGACAATAATATAAAAAAAATACTAAACAAGAAAACACTGTTATCTAGAACATAACAAGTAGATGAGATATGATTAATAGGTATTTAAATGAGAAGGAATGAATGCAGTTGTATTTGGTATAAAGTGCTGGAAAAGCAGATCAAGAGCGCAGAATCATCTTGCAAACACTAAAATTCATTAAAATTATCCAGTGAGGGCAAGGCACATAGTTCAGTGATAAAGTGCTTACCTACCAAGGATGAGGCTCTGAGTTTAACCTCCAGAACAATGAGAAAAAAATGAAAATCATCCAATAAAAGAGAAATGAACAGAACCCAATCCTAGTAAACAAAAAGTGCTGAACAAAAGGCAAAGAATGGTGCATAATAGCAGGGCACAGGAAGCTTATGTGTTTCAGTAGGAAGAATGAAGAAAGTGTGAAGGAATGAAGTGTGAATATATGACCAATATCTGGTTAACAGCGGTCTAATTACCCCTGGCAATTATTCCTCACTCTCGGTCAAATCAAGTCTCTAATAACTTCAGTTTATAATAAAAGAAACTGTCAGGGATATATGCATACAAACATGTTTTCAATGAGTATCCTAACTGCACTGTTATATTCAAACTAAAAACTTTCTCAATGATTAAAAAGGATGGAAATGTCCTAAATCAATCAATCATGATCCAAATTAAGAGATCTTTATGTACTCATATATCTAAAGACAGGAAAATTTTCTCATAAGAGCCATCTTAAAACATTAATGATATGTACACATTAGAAAGAAATACAGGGCTGGGGATGTGGCTCAAGCGGTAGCGCGCTCAGCACCACATACCAACAAAGATGTTGTGTCCGCCAATAACTAAAAAAATAAATATTAAAATTCTCTCTCTCTCTCTCCCTCTCTCACTTTCTTTTTTAAAAAAAAAAGAAAGAAATACAGTACAAATATGACATTCTACAAATGCTTTCATTAATTGTGATATGCTCCTTTTCAAATTTTGAAAATAAGTAACTATATCTATTATAATTTTTTTAGACATAGTATATTGGGGTAAACGAAACAGAATCCATGTAAATCTGAACGACAGATATAGATTTAAACATATTCTTCCCTACAGAAATTAACTAGGCCCTCAAGAGAATACAGAGAACAGGAAGAAAAAAAGGAAAGAAAAGAGATTCGGGGAGTTGACATCAATTTTACAGAACACATCTAACTATATTAAAGACAGTTAAAAAAAGATATTTTTAAATTACATAACACTATTTACTCAATAAGATTATTTCATTTTAATCAAGAAGAATAGACAATGATTCCAAAGATATCATATCCAGAATAAGAAAATGTTCATGTTAATTTTTGGATAACGTATACTAATACATTGATCCACTCATGATTATGAATGGATCCAATTATGAGTGGATCCACTCATAATTACAGTGGATCAAAGTTGTATCTTAATAGGTCAGCATCAATTTCAAATTTTTATTCCAAGAGTTAAATAATTCTCAAATATACACTTTACCTGACCAAATTAATTACCTTAATAAGATGTGGTAACAATTAAGAAAAGCATTACAGCCGAAAGTAGTGGCACACGCCTATAATCCCAGCAGCTCGGGAGGCTGAGGCAGGAGTTCTGGGAGTCCAAAGCAAGCCTCAGCAACTTAGTGAGGCACTAGTCAACTGAGCAAAATAAAATATAAAAAGGCTGGGGATGCGGTTCAGTGGTACCAAAAAAGAAAAAGAAAAAGAAAAGCATTACATGTATGTTCTAAAGCAGCACTATCCATAAATAGCAGAAAAACAAAATGCTTTATGTAAACACATCTATACTAACGTATATGTGACATATATATAAACAATGGTACATAAACAAAACCAATGGATAAACAAAATGGCATGAAAATATATAATGAAATATTTTTCAGCCATCATAAAGAATGAAGTTCTACATGCTACAACAGAGATGAACCTCAAACATTGTGCTAAGAGAAATTACACACAGAAGGAGAACACAATACCAATTATATGCGGTACCTAGAATAAGAAAATTCACAGAAATTTAAAATATACTAGAGGTTAACAAGAGCTGGGATGAGGGGCAATTGTGGAAGTGGCAAAAGCACTAGACTAATGTAATGGGAATTCTCTGTACGATCTTTGTAACTTTTCCATAAATCAAAAGTTATTCTGAAACAAAATTTTAAATAAAGAGAACAAGAACATCCAACCTCCCACCAATCTTAATCAATAAATAACACAAATTTTGACTTTTCTGTGTGCTAAAAACTAGACTTTACAAATTAAATAAAGTGAATGAAATTTATAATTTCCCAGTGAGACCGTTGTGCAGGGGAAGTTTTGGAGAAATTGTTATGTGGTACATTGTCAAAATACCCGTTAAATAAATGTCCCATACTGTGGTAATATTTGAAGGAAATTTATTTTCTGTCTTTCTTTTATTTTTCCCCCTAGTGCCAGGGATCAAGACCAAGGCCTTAAGCATTCTGGGCAAGCACAAGGAAATTTCTTAAGCAACTATAAAGGGGTTAGGTAAAAACTATGTAGTATAAATTAAAACATTTTGGGGAAGGCAATGTGAAAGGAATTTTAATAAATAAAAGCTGCTCATATTTTTACCAGCTTTTCCAAAGATGCAACATATAGAAATCTTTGTTTTAAGGTTTTTTTTTGGCATTTTAAAAAATTTATTGGTTCTTTTTAGTTATTCCTAAGAGCAGAACGCATTTGAATATAATTATACAAGCATGGAATATATCTTATTCTAGTTAGATAGAAATCTTATTAGAAATACTCACACAAGGACACACGGATCAAGTTTTCATTGCATCATTATTTGTGAAAGGGACAACCTAAAGACGTGTCAATAAGTAAACTGTTAGACAAATTACATTACATAAATAATGTATCTATACATTTTCATTTCAAACTAAGAGCCAAATATTATGACATTCAGTCTAGTCATGATAAATGCTAAAAATGATGCTACTTAAAATATAAAAATTGAATGACTTATGTATGAAAAAGGGGTCTTATTTAAGCCATGGAAAGACCCATGTCAAAGCAGAATATTATGAATATAATGGTCATGACATAACCCATAAAAATTATTTATCACTCAACCAAGAACAAAAGCAATTTGCAACCAGGCATAGTGGCACACACCTGTAATCCTAGTGGCTCGAGAGCCTGAGAAAGGAGGATCTCAAGTTCAAAGCCAGCCTCAGCAAAAGGGAGAGGAGCTTAGCAACTCAGTGAGACCCTGTCTCTGAATACAATACAAAATAGGGCTGAGGATGTGGCTCAGTGGTGGAGTGCCCCTGAATTCAATCTTCAGTACAAAAAAAAAAAAAAAAAAAATTGCAGCAATTGGCTGCAAGAAAGCACAGATCATGAAATATTACCTAATGCAGTTTTTAATGTAGCTCTGCCATTGTTATACTGTTATAAACATTATAGTTAAAATAATCCTACTACATATTTATTTTTTCGCTACATATTAATTTTTATAGGTAATTCTACTAGAAAGGTCCATATATGTGACAACCTTATAGGACAGCTGCTAGACATAAAGTAGTAGAAGGAAAAGATAAAAGGGCCACCTAGAATTAACACAAAACACAATAGTGAAAACATTGAAGATGGAGATGACTTTAGTAAACTCTTAAAGTAAGGAAGTCAAAAGCTATAAAGATGAACAGTAATTGATACAAATATAATTGCAGCAGAATAAAAAAATTAGAATAAAGGGAACAGCATCACATGAACAAATTGAAATATGGACAGGGAACAAAGTTGGTATAACAAAGAACAACATACATAATATTTAACACAATCCAAATAATTCTATACTGTCACAGGAAAAGACAATGACACAAAACAGTGCGTCCAAATGTAGACCCAAGTAAATGTAAATTTAGTGTTTGATACATGCAATGTTAAATGAGAAAGCATTTTTAGCAAACATTGGTCCAATCACTTGAAATCCAATATAAGTTCATACAGCTGCTGAGATCAAAATAAGATCCAAATGATCAATGACTTAAAAATGAATTATATAATAAAAGTACTAAGAAAAAATTCCATTTATAGAGCTACACATATAATTTTATTTTCCTCTGACCTAACAGATTTCCTAAAATTAAACCATCCCTGCATGGTTGGTATGATCTGTTTATTGTATATTTTACTCATATATTTACTCCTGCATTTTTCCTTACATATCACTATCAAAAATGGGACTTAAGTGTTACTTTTCAGTTCCTATTAAGTTATAGTTTCTATAATATGTAGACTTAATAATAACACTACTGTCGTATTTGCAGAAACTATCTCTGAAAGGTCAAACATGAAATTAATAATACATACAATCTGAGGAAAAGGAAAAAATGTTGAGGACTAAGAAATCAGGATTGGGAAGAAAATTTACACCTAGATCAACTTTATAAAAATTGCATTTTATACTATTTACCATTTGCATGTACTATAGATTTTAAAAATATATGTAATCTGTGAGGGACAGTAAAATTGGTACATTTTCAAAGGGTAATCAAATCAAATTTTTAAATATGCATACCATTTACTGAAAAATTTATCATACATAGTTACTAGTACAAGTACCTAAAAATGAACATATGAGACATATATAACATGCTATTTACATTTATGGGATGATATGCAGGGTATTATGTACATGGTAAGAGATCCATTATTTATGCTTATTCAACATTTACTATGAATCTACTATGTACCAGGCAGTTAGAGGAGCTGGAGTCATAGCATTTCAAAGGACAAAAACCCTTTGTTGACATCCTCTTTGAATTTACATAGTGGCAGCCACAACCAAATCTCTACTAAGCTGACAGTAAATCAGTGCAAAAAAGCATTGCAACGCAAAACGGCAGACCAACTTAAATTTTTCCAACCTAATATAGACCCCCCCCAAATATTAATGCAAAGCAAACAAGTCACTACAAATTCTAAAATATATGACACTTTGACCTCTATGACTATGGTAGAAGTTCAATGATTTTAAGAGATTCATCCAATCTACTAAAAAGTATGTTATTATGTATAATTGTTTATACATAATACACCTTAGAAACATATAGTAGTATACATGAAATACTATAGCAAACATTAAAGGTATTGGGCTGAGGATGAAGCTTATTGGTAGACCACCAGGGAAGGCTCTTGTTTCAACCCCCAGCACTGGAAAAAATAAATAAAAGCATTATGTCATTTTTCTTAGAAAATTATTTTAAAGTAAATAATATGTTCACACATTTCAAAAATAAAAAATAAAAAGAGCTGGGGATGTGGCTTTGCAATACAGCATTTGCCTAACATGGGTGAGGCCGTGAGTTCCAATCTCAGACCTAAAAAAAAAAAAGAAAAGGAAAAAAAAGAAGGAAAAATGCCAATGAATTACACTACAAAAATGTAAAAATGGCAATTTTCTTATGTTATTCATACTTATCGCAAAAAAAAGAAAAAAACAAATCACCTGACCTTACAAATACTGGTATATCAAGTCTTCTACCAAAAGAACTCCAACTGTACATAGAAAATTCTTATGACACGGGAGGGGGCAGACACCTGTAATCCCAGCTGCTTGGGAGGCTGAGGCAGTAAGATCTCGAGCTCAAAGGCAGCCTCGACAATGGCAAGGTGATAAGAGACCCTGTCTCTAAATAAAATAAAAAATAGAGATGGGGATATAGCTCAGTGGCTGAGTACCCCTGGGTTCAATCCAATGTACCAAAAAACAATTCTTATTCTTACCCTGGATATACCTGCCCCATTATCCCAGCACTTAAAGATGACTATTTTCACATTGCAGTATCAATTTTTTTTAAATACCTGAACACATATAGTTCATCCATTTTCTACCAGAAAGGAAGCTTTATATAGTACCTTTTACACACCTTACGTTTTTCAATTAATGTTCTTTAAATTTCCTATTATTTCATAGACTGTTTCCTCACTGAATATTACAGCATTCTAGTATTCCATTGTGTGAATGCATCAGTTTATCTAGTCTCTTGGGTTCTTATCTTTCATTATTTTACTACATTTGATAAATGTTATCAAATGAGACATGGTGATGCATGCCTATAATACCAGCTATTGAGGCCGAGGAAGAAGGATAGCAAATTTGAGGCCACTCTGAGCAACCCAGTGACACTCTCAAAATAAAAATCAAAAGACCTGGGGAGGAAGCTCAATGGTAGAATGCCTCTCTGGGTTCAACCACCAGTACCCCCCCCCACACACACACACGCACACGCACACACAAAGAAATCCAAGATTACATATGCAATTTTTGTATCAAATTTGCAGATACATAGGATCATTCTGAGAGATCACTAGATCAAAAAATATAGAAAACTATAATTCTGATAAATGTCAAAAATGCTGTTCAAATTTTTGCACTGTAACATTCTACAAGTGCCAATCTTTCCAGTCTCCAAAGTTCTCAAATATTAACTTTCTGTACTTTTGTTTTACTCTTGTCTTACAAATAAACTTGAATATTCTTTCACATTTAAGTGCCATTTGTTTTCCTGTGAACTACCTATTCAAGCCATGACTCATTTTTTTCCTTATATTTACTTTTTTAGTTTTAGGTGGACACAATATCGTTATCTTAATCTTACTTTTATGTGGTGCTAAGGATCGAACCTAGTGTCTCACGCATGCTAGGTAAGCACTCTACCCCTTGAGGCACAACCCAAGTCCCCATGACTCATTTTTAACTAGAGTTTCCTGACTTTATGTTTTAGAAGATTTTTATATATTAATGAGGATTAACATTTACTTGGTAGTGTTATAAATATTTTTTCCCAATTTCTTATCTTTTGACTTCATTTCTAGTGACTTTTTACAGGAAGTATATTTGTTCTTTTTAGCCGCATTTTTTTAATCTTATGGCTTCTATTTCTGAAAACAGAAAAATAATCCAACGGGGCTGGGGATGTGGCTCAAGCGGTAGTGCGCTCGCCTGGCATGCATG